GACAGAATTTATTGAAGTGTCATTGCCAGGACTTGCATGTTGTCACTTCAAACACGCTTCTCAAACTGCTCTCAGTTTCACTTTACTACTGGAGTAGTGGGAGGTAGCAGGTGACAGTGACTGGAACGCATTAAAACTCTATAGCTGCCTTGTCATCTTCAATTAGATGACTCTTTTTTTTTTTTTTTTTTTTTTTAATCACTTGAATTAGACTCTGTCATTTCTTTTACAAATAAAACCCTTACCAGGCTGCTCTTGTATGAGTGATGGAGGTGTTTACATTGCCCATGTGACCTGGAAAATCGTAATTTTAGTCAGATAAAGTTGCATTAGCCTTTTGAAAAGTATCATTTGTCAATATTACAAGCGGATATTTCCAGGAGTTTCAGCCTTCCCAGAAGTGATGGTGGTGGTATCTTCATCCTCGTTTCCTTGCAGTCCTCTCTGGAAGTGAGAGGTCATGGCTGCCGTGCAATGGATTGAATGTTTTCCTTTGGATTTTAAAAAGAACTTCCCCAAATATGTTATGCACCCTTTCAGAGCGGGCCGGTGCAGGTGGGTGCTTTAGGACAGGATTTAGGTGGGTGCTTTAGGACAGGATTTAGGTGGGTGCTTTAGGACAGGATTTAGGTGGGTGCTGTAGGACAGGATTTAGGTGGGTGCTCTAGGACAGGATTTGCCGGGAGCCGCCCGTAGATGGCAATGTAGGATCCTCGGACGGGAATGTTCCTGCTCCGATGAAAGTGCTTTCCGTTCCCCAAACACCGACTCTCAGCCCGGATTTGGGCTGCTTCTCAGCGATTCTTGACTTTTGCAGCAGCACGGAGCCACCTCTGGGGCCAGGTGGGCATTTGGGGCACTGTCCCTCTCCTAGTGATAAATGTAATTATACCCAATACAGCAAATAACCAGAGCTGCATTTACAGGGAACACTTGTCCTTTGGCTTTGCCTGTCAGGAATGTGCAAAAATGTAACAGTACCTCATCCCAGCATCCTAGAATCCCAGCATTCCAGAATTCCAGAATCCCAGCATTCCAGAATCCCATCATCCCAGCATTCCAGCATTCCAGAATCCCAGAATCCCAACATTCCAGAATTCCAGTATCCCAGCATCCCAGCATTCCAGAATCCCAGCATCCCCGAATCCCAACATCCCAGCATCCCAGCATCCCATAATTCCAGTATCCCATCATCCCAGCATTCCAGAGTCACTGAGGTTGGAAAAGCCCTCCAAGGATCATCCACTCCATCATCCCAGCATCGCGGAATCCCAGAATCCCAGAATTCCAGCATCCCAGCATCCCAGAGTCACTGAGGTTGGAAAAGCCCTCCAAGGATCATCCACTCCAGTCTTCCCAGTGCCCACCTTGTCCCAGCCCAGAGCCCTGAGAGCAAACTGCCGCCCTTCATGTGACACCTCCCGTGCCGGGCACCCGAACCCTCCCTGGGCAGCCCTGCCAGGGCCTGAGCCCCTTTTCCTGGGGGAATTCCTCTGGAGCTCTCCTGTGCTGTGCAGGTGCAGCACTGCAGCTGCGTGCTGCAGCTCCTGCTGTCGGTGCAGAGGAGGAGGCAGCAGGGACAAAATTCACCTGTGGCTTTCCCAGGTCCCTCTCAAAGGAAAGTTTTGTCAAAGCAATTTCAGGGCTTCTGGAGGCCTCCCCTCGCTCTGCCATGAGATGCTTTGCAGCCTTAACTTTGCTCATGGGTGTTGTCCCCAGAAATATTCCTCTCCAAAATTAAAGTCACCTGCGATTGTGCTGTTGGGCTGGGATAATGAGGATAATATTTATCGATTTCCCAAAATGTGCCTTTCTTTATGAGTGAAGAAACTGAGTCATCTTTTCCTTGGCTGACCTGGGAGCTGCCAGCACTGTGGAAGTTACAGATGACTTCTCTCAGCTGCTCTGTGACATGAGGAGCATCACTAATGAGAATGAGAGCAGCACTTCAATTTATCATTCAGCAATTCTGTGTCAAAACTTCATTTCTCTATAGAATTAACTATAGAAATTTATGCTGGTGCCTCCTTTGTTCCTGAGGTGGGCACCATTAAATGATATTGTTATCTTTATGAAAAAGATAAATATTATTCTCTTGCTGACCACTTCACTTGCATGACTGAGAGCTGTCAAATGAACTGTAAAGTTTTTTAAAAAAATCACAATCTGCAGATGATGGCTGGGAATGTCTTATATTCCAGGTCAGTCCCTCCAGCTAATTACTGTGGTTTACAGCTCAGTTTTTCTGGACCCACACTGAATGTAGGAGTTAAATTATGACCATAATTAAGGATGGCTACAAAGCTGCTGTCATTAATGAGGGGCCCTGCCAAAGGAGGAGCTGAGAGCTCAGCCTGACAGAGTCACACAGGTTTCTGTGCCCTGCCTGCCTCTGGTGCTGCACAAGGTTCCAGCTCCTGTCACAAGGGCTACAGGGATAATGAATGAATATTTATAAAGTGTAGCAAATATGCTCTAATTACCCTAATTGGCCTGCTGTGGTTCCAGTTATGGCGGAACTTAATTTCTGTTCAAGTGACATTTGCTTCTGGATTAGTTCCTGCAGGCAAAGGAAAAGTAGAAGCCCTGCAGAAGAGGGCAGAAGATCCCCTGATATCCTGATCCTGCACTTTCCTCACCGTGCTCCTGGCAGGCTCGTGGCTAATAACATTCCTCATCTCATTAGGGATTTCTGGGGAGTATTTCAGAGATGTGAGACACTGGGAAATGGCAAAGAAAAACAATGAGCAAAAAAGGAGGGAGGACTTGTTTTATTGTTAAAATGAATAGCCAAACTCTGAACACTTCCAGGAGGCAGTACACAGAATTCTCCTTGACTTTATTGGTGGTGTAGAAATGTACCTTTATTAGCGGTGTATGGTTTGGCAGAGTGACTGCCAGCCAGACAAGGAGTCCTGTCCTGAGGGCTCACACAAGCTGCTTCCATTCAGGGAACACATTTTCCACCTACCTTCCTTCACCTTCCTTTGGCTGTGGCCATCACTGTGTCAGGAAGGTGAGATCATGAGGGATGCTGGAATGGGGTGGTTAAATCCCACAGATGTGAGTGGGTGAATCCAGTGGTTTGCAATTTCTGCTGTAGCAATAGAACTTTTGAGGTGCATTTTTGCTGACAGGGGTGACATTCATCTGCTGCCAGCTGAATGACTCTGGTTGCATGCCTTCAGATCTTCTGGGATTCTGTAGGCTGCACTCTCTGTGTGTGGGACACTCAGATCCCCCAGCTCATGGCACCTGGGATCTTTTCCTCCCTTCATTTGGTACCACTGTCATCTTTTGGATAAATAGATACTAAATCCACTGTCAAATCTTGCATGAGGCAGCCAACAGAACTATTGACACAGAAAAAAATGGGCCATGCAGCATTGTGCCAACTCCTGGTAGTAAATGGTGAGCAATGACTGTGGAAATGGTGACATCTGTGACACCCCAGCCAGAGTCAGCTGCTCAGGGCAGGGTTGCTGGCACCGACTGGTGAGAGCAGGGATTGATGTCGTGGTCTTCAAAGTCACATTTGACCCTTCTTTTATTGTTTCATTTCTAATTATTCTAATTTAAATTCTAATTATTAAACAGTCAATTCACTCTCTAATTATCTACTCCAGCTTTCAGGCCGTTGCAAACCCCGAAGAGGGATGTGAAATTCTGCAGCAAACATTGTTGCTGTTGCATCAGGCTGAGCCCCAGTGGAGCTCTTCCCTCACGAGGCAGGGATGTGTGGAGCACACCAGGGCTCCTTCCCAGACGTGCCTCTGACGGTGTGGGATCCGTGACTCAGCCCTGCGTGAGCTTCTTGTTAATTAGACATTGCTAAAGGCTCTGGCTGTGGAGATCCGGGGTATGAATTACACTGCGAGCATGGCAAAGGGTCAAATGGAGATGAGCTCTAAATATTCCCTAGAGAGAATTTTTGAGGGCCTTGAGCTGTGGTGCATGTGAGCACAACATGAATGGCTTCAGTCACCTTCTTGGAGTGCTGTTAGAGGAGCCACTGCTCTGCCTTCATTCCTGGGCTGCACCCACCAAGGGGCTTGTGTTGGTTTGGAGGCAGGAGGAGGCTGGAAAGGGAAAGGTTTCGGAGAAAGTGATTTAATGTACCACCTTACCTGGAAATTCTGCTTTCTACAGGGACTTTTCTTTCTCAGTTCTTATGGATCCTTGTTGTTCTCTTCTGAATCTGACAGATTCTTTGTTAAAATGATTTAAAGTTCTGTGATTGTGATTCTTGGAACAACATGCAAGGAAGAGGTGTCCCTACACAATCTCATACCTGGATTTTCCTGCAGGGGGATAATTTCTTTGCTGGTTCTTTCTGGCCCTGCTCAGAGCTGTGCCCCAGCCCCACTCCCCGTGCCACCCTCCACCCCTCTGTGCCTGCAGGAGCACAGGGAAGGCAGGGAGAGCCCATCCCTCCAGGAATGCAAGGAGCAGAGCTGCAGCTGTGGGATTGCAGCTGGCCAGAGCCCCCGGGGCAGGGATCGGGGCAGGGATCAGGGCAGGGATCAGGGCAGGGATCAGGGCAGGGATCAGAGCAGGGATCAGGGCAGTGCCAGCCCTGCTGCTGCTGCTGCAGACTGGCGCTGCCCTTGGGCTCCATCAGAGCTCCAGTGCTGGGCTGGAGCTGTGCTGGGAAAGGGCCAGACAGGAGTGACAGCCTCAGCTGCCACAGGAAACAGCCAGCTGGTGAGCCAGGCCATCACCTCCATGGACCAAACCCCAGATAACAGAGTGCAGAGAGCACAGACCCCAGGAAAGCTGGAACACGGCAGGTGGGGTCCACACTGAGACCTCTGAGCTGGATTTATTTGGCACAAGGACTGCAGCAAGAGCTCTCCCTGTGTCACCAGGGAGGTGACAGCCACTCAGTCACACCCCGAGCTGCTCACAGGCACCTGCTGCCAGCACAGCTCGACACAGGCTGGGCACATCCCCAACCTGCAGGACCTGCAACAGGCAAGATGCTTTCACAGCTTTGCTCAGCCAACACCCAACTCCAGGGTGATGTTTTTATTTTATTTTTATTGGACAAGGGCTTTAGAATCAAGCTCTAGTTGTGGGATAAAAAAAAATTAAGTGATACATGAAATAAATGAATGTTAATGTAAAGACAGTGAGAAAATGGATGGCCCTACAGCATTTATTAGCTAGCAGAACATGGAAATGAGCTTAGGTTTTATTTGGTAAGTTTTGATTTCTCCTTATATTCACGTACAGCTCCTTATTTATGGCTCAGCCTGTCAAACACATTCTTAGATAAGCAACTGTTGCTCACAGGACTAATCTAATTACCAGTTCTTTTTATAACGAACGCTGACACAAAGGTAGAAGATGCATAGCACTTGTGCTGGAGCCAATGCTCCAGATGATCAAACAGTTTTGAGATTTAAAAAAAATGGGGAGAAGAATTTTTTGTCACGATGTTCCTGTTTTTTGTCCAACTCTAATTAAAGATGAAGAACAAGAGTGAAAAGCTGGTTCATTTGCAGCTTTGGCACAGAGTTAATTGCCAAGAGTTTAGACTGGATATTTTAGCACTCTGCAGTAATGTTCCATAGGCACATTTCCCTACCACAGGCTGGAGAATGCTAGAGCCCTAATTATTTGTAAAGTGCATTTTTAAAAGTTTGGAATTTTCCTTCAGGAACAAGCGTATCAGAAGAGCTTCAAATGGTATTTTAAAGAAATTTGAACAGAAAATCAGTGTGCTGTAGGTGCACAGACTGAGAAACTGAATATACTTTTTTTGGAAGGACAATGTTGTGTCCTTGGCCTTCATTTAAACCAGAAACCATTATGCATTCTGACATTTCTTGCAACCTGCTCTAGAAATGCCAATAAGAAATAGTATTTCTGAAAATTAAGACAAAGAAGCATTGGTCAGTGTGATGGGGACTTCTAAATTCCCCTTAGTTCTTAGCAAGTAATTTTACTGGAAAAGAGTGGAAAATAGGCGAAACTCTTTAAATCAGCTTTTCTTTACCTCTAAGCACACCTGAAACCAAACAAGTTTATTGTAACAAATCCATACAAGTTGGATTTAACTATTTTTGAAGTCCTGGAGTTTTTCTCCTGAGCTGTTCTGCAAGTCAGGGTCATTCCCTCTAAAATAAAGGGGGTCTGCCATGAGCCTGCACAGAAACCTGTGCCACAACCAAGTGTTCTTGTGCTCAGGGACAGAGCCTGGACCAAGATGAACAGTACCTGGTTGTGCTTTAGGCTGTTCACTGCTTTTTCCTCTCCTGTTTAAAACCTTCCCCATTACCAGCAGATGGTAACGATGGCAGAGCTGAAGAGAATCCTGTGCCCGGTCCCTCCTGGTGGAGGACAGGGAGGCACAAAGCTCTCCGTGTGCCCCTCCATGACTCAAATCTGATTTTCTGCTTCCCTCACGGGCACAGAGCTCCTGCTCCTGCCCCAGAGGCGAGAGCTCGTGGCAGGGTGGCCCCAGTTTGCCCAGCAGTGCTGGGGTCCCTGAAGTGCCCTCTCCCAGTTCCCTTTCAGAGCTGAGGGAGAGCGAAGCTGGAGCAGATGGTGGGGAGGCTGGATCTCCTCATGCATATTTCACTGGCTTTGCAGCTAGTCACCTCTAGATAACAGCATTAAGTGCTACAAAACTCCAAGGCTTCCTTCCTTGGAATGTTGCATTCGATGGCATCGGATCAATGCTGTAACAGCAATTCAATTTTGAAGCTGGTGAGCTCTGAGTATTTACATCTTTAGCAGGGTTAGGCTATGAACAGCTCGATTCTTCTGTTCTGCTGTGGGTAGGGCTGACTCGCAAGGAAAGAGCTGCTTCTGTGCTCAGTGACGAATCCTACTTGGTGTTTTTTAAAAGCACAATAGGACAAACATCTGTGGTTATTTCCATTACGCTCTAAGGCGTGTTACTGGAGACAATTTAGCCATTAATTCTGATGTATTTACATTATTTATATACAAGAGGAACGAGAAAAATGGTAGCCTGTTTAATGATTATGTACATTGTGATTCGGTTGGAAAAATGTGTATTACAAGTGGCAATACAGCCTGTCAAGTGCATAATTATATGTTGCTTTTTTGTTGTTGTTGTTGCCAGAGAAGTTTTAATTCCTTAAATCCCACTGCATGATCTCAGTGAAAGTTCTGCCCTATACATTATATGGGGGGGAGGAAGGAACAGCATAATTACCAACTTCTTAAACCACACCAGGTCCTGGTGAGAGCCCCTTCTCTTCGTTTTAATATGAGGATTACCTTGGTAAGGTGCTTCCCGAGCGAATTAAGAGGTGGAATCCGACACAATGACAGCAAGAGAAACAGGAAGGTAAATTTCACTCATTGTCCCTAGTCTCGGAAGAGAGAGTGGTGAACAAAACCTCGCTGCCTTGCGACTCATTGCTCATCTGAGACTTGGCTTTCAGTAAGAACTGTGCTCTCCTGTACATGATCCTCTCCTGCTCCTGCTTCAGCTCCAGGTAGGAGCGTGAGAAGGTGTGGAAGATGGAGGTGACCGGGAAGGCCATGAGGAGGATGCCGCTCAGGATGCTGCTCAGGGCCACCACCTGCCCGGGGATGCTCCTGGGCACCATGTCCCCGTAGCCCACGGTGGTCATGGTGATGACGGCCCACCAGTAGCAGGCGGGGATGCTGGTGAACTCCTGCGAGTCGGCCATCTCGTTCTCGATGACGTAGAGCAGGGGCGCGAAGAGTGCGATGGCCACGCACAGGAAGAGCAGCAGCAGCCCGAACTCGCGCGTGCAGCGGCGCGCCGTCAGCCCCAGCGTCTGCAGCCCCAGCGAGTGCCGCGCCAGCCGCATCACGTACAGGATGCGCAGCGCCCGCAGGATCCGCAGCACCAGCCCCACCTTGTCCAGGTAGATGTTGCCCGAGCTGGGCTTCTTGGAGCCCTCGGAGCCCGTGTCCACCAGCAGGGTGATGTAGTAGGGCAGGATGGCGATGATGTCGATCAGCGTCAGCGGCCTCCGCAGGAACGCGAACTTGCTCCTGGCCTGGATGAATCTGAGCAGGAACTCCAGGGAGAACCATGCCACACACACGGACTCCACAATGAAAATATTGTAGCACATCTGGGAACACTCACCCTGCAGGAAAGAGGAGGAGTTTGTAACCGGCTCTGGGTAATAACTGTTTTAGTTGGTGCGCTGACAGGAGGAGAGGCTTCTGTGTTGGTTTTTTTAAACCCAAAATATTAAAGGAATTGAAGCTGTTGCTATGGGGAAACACGTTGGCAGCTTGGAACATGCTAAATGCAAAACTTAGAAAGGCACTGCTTATTCCACAGAAGATACCGCTCGGGAATTTCAAGCTTTCTAAATAGCAAATACAAAGTCTAACAAGGTGATATACAGAAGAGTGCTAAGAGAATTTTCTTTGGACATGAAACTGGATATGATTAATTCTCTTAGAAGTAACTGAAGGGTCATGTAACATTTCAAATATTCTTCACAATCTTTTCCCCCCTCTAAAGGCAGCTGCAAAATCCCCATTGAAGTCAATAACCTCAGACCTTGTACTTGCTCTGCTCTTCCCAGCACATACCACTTGGCATCCTGAAAGGCAACTTACCTTTTCCTCCTCCTCCCTCAGGTCAGGCATGGTGCTGATGGATAAGTTCACTGCTGTAATAGTTACAAACAAAACAGACAAACACGCAAACACCTTTCCAGGAAGGCCAGACTGGGGCCTTTCCACCATGTCTTGCAACTTTTTCATGCACAAACCAATTTTTGTCTCCTCTACTGTTTCACCTGTTGTTTCATTTTCTAGGAGGTCATCCTCCCGTTCATTAATCTCTGTGAGCTCCTCCATTTTTTGCAGGTACCTCCTTTTACAACACCAGTCCAAGTTGTCTTCCTCAATGCCCCAGTAGAGCAGCTCCTCTTGGAAGGACAGCGCGCACATCTCCCGCAGGAGCCGCAGTTTGCCAACCCGCAGGAAGGTCAGGATTGTCCTGAACGCCCCCGGGTTGCGGTCGAAGAAGAACTCGTTGCACGTCACATCGTAATCGTCACAGATGTTCAGAATGTCGTCGAAGTTGGTACAGAACTTGAGCTGTCCCAGCCGTGTCAGGGGGAACTCATCGAGCGTGGTCCAGGGGAGCAAGTACTTGATGCCCCCCACGTTGATGATTATGTGGCGCTTGCGGTCGTCGGGGTGGAAGCCTTTGAGGAGATCCTCCTGAGGGTGGATTAGCCTGGCTCTTTGGTAAAACACTCCCTTGAGGCTTTCAGATTCTGGAAAGAACGTGTGGTTGAAGGAAGCATCTGAAGTACAGCTCAGGGCACTATAGTCATAGTCGGAATTTTCTCCAGGCATAAGAGTCATCTTGGAAGACAGCTTGGCATCCCTTCGCTGCTTCTGCAAGTGTCTTCTGGAACAGAAAACAGACATGGGGGTGAGGAAATGGCAGGCTGCTTTCAGGTTTTGAACAAGTGTACTGGTTGGAGCTCAAAAGCATTTATGGATGATGAGAGCAATTGGAAAGAAAACAGCAGTGGTCAGACCTTTCTGGGCAGGCTGGGTTTGTCCAGCTGGGCAGCACTGACCCCGTGCCAGGGGCCGTGCCCGGTTCAGGAGCTCTGCCTGGCATATTTATCACACTGGAGGACTCTCCTCTCTCAGATACAGAGGTCTCAGTTCCCAGCAGATAAACATGGAAACCAGAAATAATTCCTCCACATGGCAGGATGTTTCTGGTTCAGAGTGGAGGTCTAAAAATGATGACAGTATCACATTAGGACAAAGAATTCAAGTGTGTTTTGTAGAAAATTAAATTGTATAACCTTTTAAAGTATTACTCATAAAACTTTTGAGTATTTTAGCACCCATAAAATATATAGAATCAATCAGAAGTCAATTATGTTGTAATTCAGTAAATACACACTTCTAAAAAACAGTTAGTACAAAACTAATTTCTAAAAGGCCATCTGGAAGCCATTTGGGGGGAAAAAGCTCACTTGTATTGGTGACCACATAAACATTTGTATAGAGTTTATACACAATTAATGACATGGCAACTCCCTTTTTATGGCCTCATTTACAAAAGGTTGCAAAGAAGCACAGGATTTCCATACAGACCCTGGGGTTAATTTATCACTGACACCCTCCATGCAGTAAGAGGGCTTTGTCCTTGCAGTGCACCGAGCCAGGCTGCCTCTGCCTCTGACTGTGAGAACCCAACATTTCTAATGACAGCTTGCAAAATCCTGTTCAAATTCAGCTCATGCAACACTGGCGTAAAGTCCAGGGAGTGAAGAGAACAGAGTTCAACTGGGCATCAAACACAGGAGCTGGAAATGTTCAAACTCCTGGCCTCCCTCAGCCCCTGCACTTTAGGAGTCAGCCTGGAATCTGCTCGTGCACAGGAGCTGTGCAGCACTGCTCCAAGCCCTTTCATCTGCACACTCAGCCTCAGCTAGTGCAGAGTCCCTGAGTGTCACTTGATAAGAGTGTTTATTTATTGAGGAGATTGTACAATATAGAGACATTAAATATGCACCAGTATTTTGGGTTTCTAGCCCGAGGTTCACAGGAAAGGAATAAATATTCCAGCTGATTGGCTTCAGTGGAGTTTTGTTCTTGTCCTGGCTGCACTTACCTCCCCTTGGATGTGCACCCCAGGGATACAACCCCTGCTGGGGCCACTTGCTGAGCCACAGAACCCTCCTTTTCAGAAGCTGGGTTTATAAACCACACCAGGAGTGGTACATACCTATTCAAGAAGAAAAACCCCTGATTACACAACAGCAAAGGACTCAAAGCACAGCTGCACATCAGTTTAAGAGCTCTCCTTGCTGCAAGGGCACTTACAATGCTTCAATTAAAAACTCTCTCAGTCCTGCTCCTGAACTTCCCGGGGGTTTGGGCTGAACAGAGCAGCTCTGTGCACACTTACAAACTGGGTGGAGAGTTATTTCCTGACTCCCCACTCATCCAGAATCACAGAATGGCTTGGCTTGGAAGGGACCTTAAAGCTCATCTTGTCCCAGCCCTGCCATGGATCAGCAGAAGAAATGCCACTGGAGTGCAAGCTGTGGTTTGATATGGAAACCAGGGCTGCCTGATGGATGTTTGTGTAGGGCTTCAGCTCCCAGACCAACTGCTGTTTTATTTTAAAATGCCTTTTCCCTTCTGCCTCAGCCATGTCTAAAGCAGGGCTGGTCCAAACAGAATGAAGATTATGACTGATATAAGATATGGATAAGTGGGAGCTGTTAACCACTTTCCCTTCTGTAATACCAGATGATGTTGGTTAGCAACAACTTATCCTCTGAATCTCAGCCAGGAAAAATGAGGAGGCAGCTCTTCTCTGTCACTGGTTTGATCTCCCAGCTCATCCACAGTTGACACAATGGGAAGAAATGGAGAGAGGGAAATGTAAATGTTCTGCGTGTGTCAGACACACGCTGAAACCCTGAGGCAACAACTGTGAAAGAGCAGAGCAAAGAGAAAGGGATTTCTTTCTTCACTGCCAGCTCCTCGACCTGTGTGAGACAACAAATTGGACAAATGAATCCCCCGTGAGCCACACTGGGTGGCTGCTCTTAGAAAAGGTTGCTCCTTGCTTTGCCATACCCAGAGCTGGCAAGCCTACAAATCCCACGTAGGATCTGGTGCTCCACATGGGTTATTTTCATGTTCTCTGCCTCAGATACACGCAGCATCATATCTACAGGGGAAGAGTAGGAGGAGATAAAGGACAATAATAAACGTGGCCTGACTTGAAGGAAGGGAGAAAGGAGAAAAAATAAACCAATGCATTTCTCTGTGTGCTTCTTCTTTTCCTTCTGAGGGTGCCTCGACAGAATGATAGTCAGTATTGCTTTAGCATGAGAGAGATCTAATTAATGGAAGGGCTCCTTGCTATTGAGCTTAAAGCCCAAGCAAGCTGCTTTATTCCTCCATTGCAGCCTGATGACACTGGGGGCAGCTGGTAGGAAATGCCTTCAGGAGTGAAGACAGCACACAGCAATGTAAGGTCAGACAAACACACCAGCCTTGACAGCAACTAAACAAGGTGAACTTTGGAACAGTGAAATCCTCTGCTCTGCTCTGCTCTGGCTGAGTCAGGCCCAAGGGTAAAAGCCCTCCTGGCCTGGGGTCTGAGCAGCTCTCTGCCCTTGGAGTGCCTGGGACTCACTGAAGCCCAGCCCAGCTTCCTGCCCTGCTGACAGCGTGCTCTCCTCCTGGGCATCCCTTCTCTCTCAGCACCATTGCTCTCGTGTTCTGTGAACTTACCAGGGCAGGAACTGTCTCTCCTGCATTATCCACCCTGGGACTGCTCTGGCTTTTAGAACCTGCAGGAATAACCAGCCTAGGGCAAGGGTGACTCCAAGGGGTGGATTGTGCATGGCAAGTAAGAGAGGACATATTTTCAAAAACCTGTCCTGCACAAGATGATATCCATTATGTCTGGTGAAGAAATCAAATTAGAAATCCGTGCTGCCCTTACTCGCAGCCGAAATTCAGGAAGGATGCCAGACTCCGAGGCAAAGGGAAAAGAATTATTAAAGATGCCCTTCTGAGAGAAGGAAATAGAACTCATGAGAAACATGATAAAATTCCACTGCAAGTGTTGTTCTCCCCCCCGTGTCCGCTGCAGTATTTTGAATTCTGCAGTGCATCTCTGATGTAATCAGAGCTCCTGCAAGGAGTCCTGCTCCTGCTCCACGGCACAGACAATTCAAAGTTGTGCCTGGATGATAACAAGCCTGCAAAGAAGATGCAGAACTCCCCCCTCGTCTCTTCTATCAATTCGAGTGCCAGCAACTCATCTCTGTTGCTTTTCACCATTTGTAAAATAAGTTTAAAAAGCCATTAAAAAAAGTTTCAGATTTCAGTGCAGCTTGAATATGAATATAGTGAATTTTTGGAAGGAATTCCATAAGGAACAATGCATTGATCTCTCCTCTTTCCTTAGTTAAGCAGACAGCATTTCCAAGCAGTGCCACTCTCAGCTCTCTCCTGGCACAGGATTTCTGTGCTGTGCCTCACTGCCAGGTACCTCCTGCCACACTCCTGCAGCTCCTTACAGCCTAAGAGCAGACCTCAAACTTCAACTCTGCTTGCAAAACTGCACTTCCAGCCAAATCAAAGTAAAACTCAGAAAGGTCAATGAATACCATGAAATAAAACTCTCCTGAAAAGCAGACAAGCTGAAAAAAACACGCTCTGTCTTGCTCTCCCTGAGCTGGACAGTTGTGGCATCTTATGACAACCTACAAAGAGAATTATGTCAAATATGTTACTCACTCTTTGGTTTTATAAAGCTGAGCCTTATTCTACTGATAATAATCAAAAGTGAAATAACTTTGCAGATAACTTATATCCTCAGGAGAATGTTCTGAAATACATCAGGATTAACAACTGCAGTTACTCTCCTGCTGTGAGACATATTTATGTCAACAAATTTGAGCAAGTCACATTCATAGCAATCTCTTAAACATAATTTTAAAAAGTAAAGGATTTGACATTTACTTGTATTGATAAATATTGTGCTACCGAAATTAAGATACGCAGTCATGGAAGAGTTCTTTCATGCTGGTCCTGTCCTCAACCCCTCCCCAAGTCTTTTCCAATGAAAAAAAAAAAATCTACTGGAAAGACATTGCCCATCAAGAACAGCTCACTCCATGTGCCTGTCAGTCACCAACGAGCAGAAGTCAGCAAACCCACCAACACAAGAGACACCCCTTAATCATGTAAAAATAAAAGCCAGAAAGGACCTTGAGGTTAGGCAGGGCGGCAGGGCGGCAGGGGCGATGCTCCATCCCGCGGGGCGCGGAGCCGGCCGGGGAGCGCGGGGGCAGCGCCGTCAGCCTCCTCCGCGCCGGGGCCGGGGCGCAGCGCGCCGAGCCGCTCCCGGCCGGGCTCCGCCGGGGAGTGCCGGCCGCTCCCGGCCGAGCCCCGGCCCCGCGCATGGTGCGGCACCGGCACCGGCAGCGAACAGCGCCCGGCAGCCCTGCCCCGCACCGCCCGCGCCGGACGAGAGCGGCGGCGGCAGGAGGAGGAGGAGGAGCTCCCGCAGCCGAGGAGGAGCGCAGAGCCCGGCCCGCAGCCCTGCCCCGCGCACGGGACCCATCCCGGGCTGCCCCGGCTGCCCGCAGCCCTGCCCCGGGCACAGCTCCCATCCCGGGCTGCCCGAGCCCTGCCCCGGGCACAGCTCCCATCCCGGGCTGCCCTGAACCCTGACCCGGGCACGGGATCCATCCCGGGCTGCCCCAGCCCTGCCCCGGGCACAGCTCCCATCCCGGGCTGCCCGGGGCACAGGATCCATCCCCGGCTGCCCCGAGCCCTACCCCGGGCATAGGATCCATCCCGGGCTGCCCCGAATCCCTCTCACGGGACCCATCCCGGGCTGCCCTCAGCCCTGCGCTGCTCACGGGACCATCCCGGGCTGCCCCGGCTGCCCCAGCCCTGCCCCGGGCACAGCTCCCACCCCGGGCTGCCCGCAGCTCCCCCAGCCCTGCCCCTGCCGCGCACCGGGCGCTCGCTGCACGGAGCAGCGGGATCACGAGTAAAAGCACAAATACCATGCCGAGTGTCTCCCCGATCGGCGCAGAGGCTCGGGGAGAGCCGAGCCCGTGCTTTGCTCCCGGGGCGCCCTTGGGCGCAGGCAGCAAGAATCAGCGCACCGGGTCATTGTCGCACGCTCGGAGAACATTGCTGGCTCTACTTTTAATGACATGTGTTTGACATCTGCGTGGAAGTTACTCGCTGTGGATGGATCTCCGTTTGGAAGCAGCGAGCTGAATGTCGGGGCCGGGGTTAAGGAGCCACCGGCAGCCCGAGCTCCGTCCCGGACTCCGGAGCGAACGCTCCCATCCCGTGCGCGGCTGTCCCCCCGTGGGTGCAGGGATCGCGACTCCTCTGGGCTCTGATTTCCCTTCCCTGTTCTTGGAGGGAATTCCCTGCAGGCGGTGTCCCGCACCGCCCTGCGGGATGGGGACAGCAAAGGGACAAGGGCTGTCTGTCCCGTGGGCATCGTGCCCTTCACCCGGAGCATGCGGGCTCTCAGTGCAAGCCGAGTCCTTTGTCGCTATGGTAATACAAATGAAAAATCGATACTATGGTAATTTTAGCAGAACACCTCTTTTCTCCCCCTGAGGTAGATGGGGCCGTGGTTCAGGACTGTGTGGGCACTCAGAACAGTCGTGCTGATATTCCTCAGCCGAGCTGCTGAACAGCAGTTGTGTACTCGGCTGGCAGCTTGGGCTGCCTTTCCCTGCTATTGCACAGGATTTTTGTTTGACTTTGGAACGGTTCCTGAGCAGCTCAGCCTTTGTCTGTAGCAGGGAGGTGATTGGTTTTACTGGCCACAGTGACAGGTATGAGAGTTTTGGCTTTTGCACAATAGTCTGGAATAATCTTGCTCACAAAAGCCTGTATTTAAAAGTCTTTGCTGTCAAAGAGGAAGGACATATGAAGTAGGGTCTCCCTGGGAGTAACTTGGGGACAGTTCTGGTCAGTGTTTGCTGTAAAAACTTGGGTGACAGCATGGAGTTCGTTTTAGAACACGTGCAGTGATTCCAGCAAGGAGTGCCAGGCTGAGATTCCGAATGACCCCGAGGTACTGCAGAGTCTGAACTCCACACAGCGAAGCTGAAGGGGAGAAAACGATGTGTGTGCCACAAATGAGGAATACCACATGTGAAATGGGCACCCTGGGGGACACAGGCTGCAGAGGAGACTCAGACTGGAGTCTTGTAGCCCAGGCAGTGCTGCAGAGCAGCTCCTGGTGCCTGGAGCAGGAGGAGCAGCTGGGGGACATCAGGGGGCGTTATTTGTTATTTACTATTTGTTATTTATTATTTGTTATTTATTATTTGTTATTTGTTATGTATTTGGTATTTGTTATATTTGTTATATTTGTTATATTTGTTATATTTGTTATATTTGTTATATTTGTTATATTTGTTATATTTGTTATTTGTTATTTGCTATTTGTTATTTGTTATTTATTTGTTATTTGTTATTTATTTGTTATATTGTTATTTGTTATTTGTGCTCAGTCAGCGCTGGCCACGCTCGGCTCAGCACCCCGGCCAGGCTCAGGCGTTGCACTCACCCTGACACAGAGATGGAGGCAGAGCAGAGACAGCAGCAACCACAACTGCAGGAGGCTTGGAAATGTAAGCTGTGTGCAAGGCTGGAATTCATTATTTGAGCTGGAAAAGAAAACACAATGTAAGGACTCAGCACCTGTCTTCAAATGCATAAACACATTTGCAAAGATGACAGTAAACACTTGTCCTCTGACCACAAACGATGGGACAAAAAGCAATTTGCTGAAGTGCAATTAGGGAGATTGCTGTAGATATCAGGGAAAAAAACCAAACAAACCAGACAACACTATTGCCCTGCGAGTAGATGGAGAGTAGCTGGAATCTCAGGAGGTTGTAAATCTGCTCAGTGGAGATGCAAAGAAAAGATTGGGTGAAGAGCTCTCAGGACTGGCTGTGACCATGCCTGGGGCAGGGCAGATTTCCTTCAGCACCCTTCAGTCCTGATATCCATCACCCTCCAGCCCTGATTTCCAGCACCCTCCAGCCCTGATTTCCATCACACTCCATCCCTGATTTCCATCATCCTTCAGTCCTGATTTCCAGCACCCTCCAGCCCTGATTTCCATCACCCTCCAGCCCTGATTTCCATCACCCTCCAGCCCTGATTTCCAGCACCCTCCAGCCCTGATTTCCAGCACCCTTCAGTCCTGATTTCCAGCACCCTTCAGTCCTGATTTCCAGCACCCTTCAGTCCTGATTTCCAGCACCCTTGAGCCCTGATTTCCACCACCCTCCAGCCCTGATTTCCAGCACCCTCCAGCCCTGATTTCTATCATCCTCCAGCCCTGATTTCCAGCACTTGCCAGCCCTGATTTCCGTGGGTTCTGTTTGCCCATGGGGTCACAGCAATCCTAAAGGAGGAGGCACAAAAGGACAACTCACCGCCACCCCGTGTGATGAATGCAGAGTTTTTCTGCCATGCAGTAAATCATCCCTGCCTGTGTTTGGATCAGGATCCCATTTCCACCTGGACACGGACAGGAGTGGAGCTCTCCAGTGCAAGTAAGCAGTTCTCAGGTCCAGTTTTGAGCAGTAGTGACTGCAAATGGTCCTTGTTGTGGTCAGTGTTGATGTGAAAGCCCTGCAGCCTGCTGGGTGCCCACTGCACCCCCTCCTGTGCACTCTGCCTTGGCTCAGGGCAGGCCAAGGGCTTTGTGGACATCAGAGTGAGAGTGGCTGTGAGCTCAGTGGCTGTGGCCAGTGTTAGACCTGCCCTGGCAAATGGGGTTATCCCTCTTCAGGGCTGCCTCCCCACATCCTTCAAGAGCCCAGAATTCCTGGGGGAACCAGAGATGGTGGCCAGGAGAGTCCCAGCAGTTTTTCTGCAGTGATCAGCTATTCATGGAGGACTGGCCAAGTATTCCCACAGTCAATCAACTACTTCGTGCTCCTTGAGGAACTGGCAGTGCTGCAGAGAAAAAAATTTAATCCCACTTTCATTACTTTTATAGCCTGTGGCTGCTTTTCCTTCTGTTCCTTTGATTGCTGACATTGAAATCCAGTTCTATCAGTTTTCCTGGCTTTTTAAGATAATTCCAGCATCGTTCTGCACTCAGGTGGATTCCACACTCAGAGCAGTGCTGCCAGCCAAACAGGGAACTTCAACTTCACAGCACCTTTTACCTCTCACCTCCCATACAAATCAGGAGGCTAAATTCCTTTCTGCTGAAGAACTGCATTCATTTTGGGCACTCAGGGCAGGAAAGCATCCCCAGGCTGGAGTGTGATCAAAAAGGGCCCCCAGGATGGGCAGTGCAGGGAGCACCTGCTCTGCTGGGACACTTGGACTTGTGCAGCCTGGAGAAGAGACGGCTTTGGGGGCTCCTGATGGCTTCCAGCGCCAAAAAAAGCTTTTCCAAGAGGGCTGTGCCAGCCTGAATGGTTTTGGGTGGGAGGTAATTGCTGTTTGCAGCACTGCTGCCATCCCCTGCAGCAAGGACACTGCACTGGGGGCAGCTCTGGCCCCTCAAGGGGAGCAGATTTCCTGCAAGTGGACCCAATCCTCCTGTCACTGCATGGTGACACATCTCCTTGCTGATTTATGGCCTGTGCAGGCATTTCTGCTTGCTTCTCCTGCCTGTTCTCATGAGCAGCTGCATTACTCTCAGTGCAGTGCCTCCGGAGTGCGCCTTCCTATGGAGAGAGCTCCCAGACCTGTCCCTGAGTTGAGTTACAAATAACCCAGCCAAACCTGCAGTTTACCAGGCCTGCAGCTCAGAGATGAGAAGAACCAGCTCTAAAAATGTTCATATTCCAAACCAAAGGGGTTTTCACACAGGGCTCAGCAGCAGGGGCTGCACTCAGCAAGGCACATTTCCTGCTCCCCTCAGCCTGCATTCCCCCTGCCACTGGAACCAGCCCTCAGCAGACCCCTCTGTGCCTGCAGACCATGATCCTGCTTGGGCACCTTCCCTGCCAGCCCCTGCTGTGCCCCTGCAGTGCCCAGGGAAGGGAGGGCTCTGCCAGCCACAGGGAATTGCCCAAAGGCCTCAGAGCTGCTGTCCCAGGTGGCTCTCAGAGCTCCCAGGGCAGCACAGGGAGCAGGTCCAGGAGTGTTTGGGTTTGGTGCCTTTTGCCAAGGAATGCTGAAGGTTTCCTCACCTGCCCTGCTTGAGGTGAACACGAATTTAATCCCCTTGTGGTCCCTTTATTGCCAGCTGAGGTGCTTTGGAGGAAATGTGGGTGCCCACCATGGATGAACTGTGTCTGTCCCAGTGGGTGACTCAGGGCTCAATTCCCATTTCACAGAGCTCTGGCACTGATGCTCACTCTGGTCAGCAGGATCCCACCTGCAGCCACCCGGGTTAGCTCACAGGTCTGCAGCAGA